AATGTTGGATGCAAAATAAGCCTGCTCATTCATCCATGCATGAATTCTCAAAAATTATGGAGTTTAAAATTTTATACCATTCTGCTACACAACACAAATTACATTATATTCACAAAAGGCTAAAAGTAAAAAAATATATATCTGATAATAACTATCCGTTTATAACTATACATCATGTGAATCTATGTGACAAGTTTTTTTTTTTTAGGATATCATAAACAAAAATTTATTAATAAGTGCTAAGCTTACTATGCAGGTCAAAAACTCCTTTTTTGTAACGAAAATTGTAAGAGTTAAAAAATTCATATAATGTACGTTTCTCATGTTCATAGGTACCTGAAACAGTCAGATGATTTAATCTTGTGTAATCTAAAAACGTATCAATTCTCCACTACCCAATTCGTACCTGGTACTGCTAAAGAGATCAATAACAGAAATGCTGGTTTGCCAGGGAGTTAGCAAAAAACACAACACGTTTGCCAACAAAGACCGTGTTCCAGGCACGTGGTTGACCGCATGAGAAGTAGACCGATGTGTTATAACAGGTTACAGTATCACCAAGGGAACTAGGACCACTGACCCTGGCTGGTTCCACGCTTAGAAGTGTCTTAACATATTCAATTGTATTTAAAAAAAATTTAATTACTAAACAACACAATGTATTAGTTGTGAAACTTATTCTCATCTCTTCATTTAATGCTAAAAGATGCAGAAATATCTTAGTGCCATAGTACGTATCAAATGTTTTCCGTTGATACAGCCCATACAATCTGCTCTTATCTCTTTTACTCCCACTGCTTTCCTTTTGCTGCCATAAATTAAGTAACGGCTGAACGATTCCCTTGAATAACTTGTTTGTTTTCAAGGGCTAGAGAGGAGAGAGGTTGAAATAACTGATTGTTTTACAGAGGTAAGAAGTGAAAGTGTGGAGACATCTGTTGTCTTAAATTTTTCATTTATCCTAATAACATTTTGTAGGCATATTTTACGTACCTTGAAATCCGTCAATGACAAAAAAAAAAAAAAATGTAATAACCTTAGAAAGCGTTTTATTTATTTCTCTTCATGAATGTTACTTTGTTTTAAAATTTATTCATCTAACAATAAACATTTATTGTCGTACAATTATGGAACACTGATCTAAAAAAAACGAAGGTTGCTTTTTATGAACACACACACGTATGTGTGTCTGACAGTTTGTCTATGTCCGTGAAAGTCTGACGACCCTCTCAGTTTGTAGCGTCTACCTACAAAAAGAGTTTGATGAACCTATGACGTCATACTTAACTGCAATAGAATCAATGCCAGGCATATGACGTGTAAGCCCAGCCTAAGTAGGGTATTATAAACTGAACTGAAGCGACACGCTGAGCTTTCCGCGGGTGTCATTCCCTTGTACGACAGCCAATTGTTATTATCACTATTTTGTTTTATATTTACCTTATCTAGGAACAAGTCTTAAGATAACTACGCTAGGAAAGCAACAACAACAACAAAAAAAATCATTCAAATTAAAAATACTAAACAATTCTACCCTGGCACTCACGAATCATAATAATATAAATAGTAATGCTATTATGTTGAAAATAAATGCTTTTTTTTTTTCACTGTTTCAATCAATTCATGAACTAAACTTGCTACTGTCTGGACAAACATTGTTGTTTTGATCAACATCTAAACTTACTATTGTCTGAAAGAAGTTATTATTTTAATCAAGAACTAAACTAACTATTGTCTGGACAAAGATTATTTTAATCAACATCTAAACTTACTATTGTCTGAATGAAATTACATAGACCTGCGAATTTAAACTTCATAAAAGTTGTTTTGGTTTTAATAACGGATTTTCCATAATTCAGCTATGCAGATTTCGAAATTAATATTCATTTTTTTTTCTATCATGTAAGGATTTTTTACAAATTGGGAAGGATAAAAAACTCTTACTTAGATCAAATTATTATTTCGTTTACCACATTGAACATTTTTTCATTATTATGTTTGTTAACAAAAATACAAACAAACTGAAGAAAATAGAAGAACATTGACGTCAAACGAATATGCATCCTCATTCATCCTGATTGTGTGTGAAATCTACGTTTTTTAGTCTCAAAACTACGTGTTGTGGTCTTTCTTTTACGTATTGCGTCTGGAGCATCTCGTTTCAATTACCAGCAGTAATCAGCCATTATGCTGATGTTCCACCTTCCCCGATACCTCCTCTTCATTTCTCTGATGTCTTGATAAAACTTTTCTCTTTGTTCTTCGCTGACGGCACCGTGATATTCAGGGAAATAGTCAATATGTGAGTGTAAGAAATGAATTTCAAGCTTATATTACAACCTAACTCTTTGAATTTATCGAGCATGTTATTGACAATATTTTCGTAATTTGGGTCCTTATTGTTTCCTACATCTTTTGCCAATAACATCTTTAAAGGCTTCTTTTTCAATTTTCTTCGTTGTCCTTTCGAACTGTTCATCAGGAGTCAATTTCCTAATCTGAGGCCCAACAAAAAATCCCTTCTTTAAGTTTCGTTTTTGAAAGCGCTGGGAATTGCCCACATAGATACTTGAAACAGTCGCCATTTTTGTCTAAGGCCTTTACAGACTGTTTCATCAAGCCCAATTTTATGTGAAGTGGAGATAATAGAACTTTCTTTGTGTCAACTTTCACGTTCAATGTTGTTCGATCCTGGTATCAGGCTGACTCTGCATGGTCCATTGCTTCTTTATCCAGTGCTGATTTCGTGCTCTGCTGTCCCAGTCACACAAAAAACATGGAAACTTTGTATAACCAGATTGTTGATCCAGCAACATACAAAGAACTTTTAAGTCTCCACAAAGTATCCAACTATGTTCTTTGTATTTGACCTTATTAAGAAGAAGTTTTATATTTTCGTACGTTTCCTTCAAGTGAACCGATTGAGCAATAGGAACAGATGCATATATGTTACCATTGTGAAGGAAAAACACCTTTTGTACTTCTTTTGGTGGAATCAATGAACAGGAGCCACTCGTTTGATTGAACTGCTGCTCCTTGCATTGGTATTAATTCAGCAATATTGTTGCAATAAATGAGTGAACCTTCTTGCGAAAAGTATGGTATAAATTCTTTCTCATGATTTCTGTACCAGTAAAATAATGTCCATGGAGAAAGTAAGTTCTTGGCAGGAAGTCTGGATCCCAAAATCTTTGAAGAATCCTTTGGAAGGCCTAAATCGCTCATCAAATCATTAAGTTTACCTTGTGTGTAAAGTTATGGATCGTTTCAGGTTGAAAATAATCCCTATCATAATTTCTATTGCCATCAGATTCAGAATCAGATGAAACTGTATCAAGAATCTCCGGTGGAATATGTACATCAGGTCCATGAGCAACAGGTCTTATAGCAGATTGAAAGTTTGGATAAGAAATTTACTTTTTATTTCGAGTGTTGTAGCTTTGCACATTACATGAGCAAAAATAGCAGTCATCTCCATGGTTTCTAGGCTCAAGTCAGACCACTGGAATTCCAAAGGGCAAAGACTTTTTTACCATTAGTCCACTGTCTCAATTCTTCGAGACAAATGGTGCAAACTTTGTGCAGAGTCCATGATTTGTCTTGGTCCCCAAGTTTTATTCGAAAACATGTCTAATACATTTTTTTATGAATTCTGTAATGTTTGTTTCTTTACAACAAATTTACCACAAATATAACAGAACATGTTTTGTTATTTACACAACCTCTTGTTGCCATAGCAATGAATAACTAATATTATAAAAGAAAAAATAATGTCAAAGTGCAAGCACAAACAAATACTATCCTGAAATCACACGTCAAGTGGCCTGTTCACCGTTTATATACTAGTGTTGTGTTTCTCGTAGGTTCAAGAACAATCGGTAAGACTCTATCATCACGATTAGTCTAGAAAATCTATAGTCAGTTGTTGTTAACATTTTAAGCATAACAAAATGTGACCCGATTTCAGTGAAAATGATTCACTTATGTAAAAGTACATATGATGTTTTGTGAATAAATCTGTACATGATGGAGAAAAATGGATATAATTTTCAGGTTTCAGCATACAGGAATTACTGTAGAACATGTAAAAATTTCAAGACAATAAAACCATTGGAAGCCTTTGTTATTAATTTAATCAACATTTAAATTTACTATTGTTTAGCCAAATATTATTGTTTTAATCAAGAACTAAACTTAATACTGCCTGAATGAAGATCATTGTTTCAATCAAGAATTAAACATAATATTGTCTGGATGAATTTATTGTACTGATCAAAAATAAACTTACTATTCTAGTGTGAATACTTTTTTTCAA